GTATCATTTGACCCTCCTTTTGAAACACTAAAGGACATGTGCCAGTTTGTTTTTTGAATCGCATGTCTACGAGATTTTTACAATCTATAATAACCCTGTATATTTATTATCATAAACAACATATTTTCAGGAAAAATGTTAAACAAAAATATTAATTTGTGTTGTAATTGTTATTAATACGAAGGCTATTTGGAGAGTAACTTTGTTTCTTTAAATGGAAACCTAGATATATTTGTGCTTACAGATTTTTATTCTGCGCGAAAACAGAATAATCTTTTGTATGGAACATTTTTTAATTAGATTTTATATTACAAGAATATTTAATAGAATGTAAAATTTGTTTACTTATACGACTTTTTTATTCTTCTTTCTATGACTGAAGAGTGATAAATCAATAACAGCTGCACTATTTCACGTGGCTTTTTTAGTGCATAAAGTGTCGCAGTACTCGTTTACATCTCCAAAGGATAAGCACTGATTATCAGCATCCAATCATAAAAAAATAAAGAAGTTTCGAAAGTAAACAGAGGTTTCATTTTATTAAATATTCTTGCAAGATAAAATCTGATTAAAAAATGTTTTATACAAAAGTTTATTCGTTTCTCGCATAGAATAAAAATCTGTAAATAAACATCTAGGTTTCCATTTAAAGAAATAAAGTTACCCACCAAGTAACCTTCAAAGTAATCCACAGAAAGAACATAAATAAACAGTTGTATTTATCCCTTGAAATTAAGTAATTTTTGTATTTAACATTTTTTCCAAAAATGTGTTGTCTCAGAGGATTGTTTCAAATGAATACTCTATATGTATTGCTTATTAGTTTATTTATATTTCTGTTACGGTTTGAGTTATTTATTTTTAATTTAAGGATAAAGGTTATGTATTTTTTGTTTCGTTTACTTACCGATTATGGTATCATGTTACGTTGTTTTAACTTATTCTATTCTAATGTTATTCTAATCAATAAGAATAGGTTTGATTTACGCTTAGAATTAAGGATTTTGTTCGGTATTAGTATTTGTATGTTTCTTTGACTGCATTGGTATGTCTAGTAAAGATCAAAACTGTCCACACACGTTTTAAAACGGTTTAAACTTTTTAAAGCCGGTCTTAAATGACTTGAATTTTTGTGTAAATACTAGAGGAACTAGTTCACTGTACAATGACTAAAATTATTTTTTTTTTAAATAGTAAAGTAAGGGTTGACAAAAAAGGACAACAAATTTTAGGAAATTTTGTAAGCTAAAATAATATGGTTTAAGAAGAGCTTTAAGATAATTGTACCAAATCTTTCGTCAATTCTTTCTTTCCGGAGTTATCAAGGTTTTTTATAGGTAAATTTATAGTCTTTTTTAATTTACGTTTTGAAAAACTATATGTTATGATGCTTGTCAAATTCTTCTTAGCATTCTCTGAACGATGGGTACAAAACTATAAAAAACTGAAGGTGGCCTTGACAACTCTTGAGAAAAGGGTTAACAAAAAAATTTGGTACAATCATCTCAAAGCTTTTTCTTAAACCATTTTTTTGAGTTCAAAAAGTTTCCAATCGAACCACTAGCAAGAGAATAAATTAAGCTGATTACGATGCGTGGTCCACCCTGTATACATAAACAAGTACTATAACCTAATGCAAAAGTCTTAATAGTTCTCTTAAAAAACATTTATTGAAATTGTTGAAAAAAAGACATTTAAAACCAGAATACCCCTTCGAAGAACAGACAATTCAAAAAATTATTTTTACATTTTTTCAGAATAAAGTTGTTAGGAAATAAATAGAATAGATCACAGTTTGGTACTCTGCGGATGGAAATCTGTATATAAGATTTATCCATCTAATTGTTGGTTAAATAAAATTATAAATGCCGGTTATTAAAGCGTTAAGTCAATTTTAAGCCATTCTTTTATGCAAAATTAAATAAAATTAATAAATCCACGGTAGGAGGTTTTCTAAAATATTTTTTATTAATAACACTACGAATAAAAACGTTATATTAAATTATAAAAACATCACGTTTTAATACTAGTTACAAGTAACTTCAGTTTTTTGATAATGCACGAGCTTTAGTTTGTTACTCCGTGATTTTGTTCATAATAATCACGAAATATACATATGTATTATATTCGGTTGTATGCGTATTTACTAAACTTCGGATCTTGTGTATTTATGATAAAAATGACTAGGTGGAATTAAAAAATATTCAAATCGTTAAAAGAAATTCATTTTATTCAGCTTTCGTTCTGTACTAACGATTCAGGAAATCTGTGTTTTGCATAAAGATCCACGGTCTAGTCATTGCATTCTCAGCTCCAATTAATAATAGATTTTCAATGATATAATGTGTTATTGAAACGTTACACGTGACATTGGACACCGTAGACGGTGATATCAGGTTGCAAAGGTTTGAACATACCGCCGACTTGGAGTGTTCAACGCAACGACGCTTGATGTGACATGTGACGCTCAATGGAACGTTCGATGCGACGCCTACCGACGTGACGCTGAATGACAACGGCTCGAGTAACTTATCAAAGGATCGGACCGCCATCTGTGAGGCTACTTTCGGACTTGCTAGGTTCGTGTTTTCGTTTTGATTAGAGTGACCACTCCCCAAGCCTCTAAAGAAGCAAGAATTCTCGAGGGCTAAGTTTAAAGAGATTCGAGTTAACATAATTAATTTCAAAGCTCTTGCTTGAGTCAGTGGATGAAGCCATTTCAGTTTTGCTATTTTTTCGTTGGTGAAAAACTGAAGTAGCTCTCGTTCTCAGGCAACGCAGTTAAAAAATGTCGACAAACGATCAAAAACGAACCTATACATGCACGTACGGTCATCGATATATTTCACAATGATCTACACAAAGTAATATATGATTTCATTAAAAAATCAAGTTGTATTCATATAACAATTCATATAACAATCAAGTTGTAAATTTTCATTTCATTTTTCGCATAATTTATCTTTACTTGCATACCGAGTAACTTATGTTCGAAAAACGTTGTCAACAGTTTCGCGGAAATGCTTGTAAATTTGAAGCGATCGTTTCGCTATATGTGAGTTTTAAATAAACGTCATAGCTCCGTATTATATTGAAAATTTGCCCGTTCTATAAAAATTATAAAAAACTCTACTTATGCTACGCAGTGACAAACGTAGTATGGGGTTGCAGTGGGAATACGTTAACAACGACTTCGTCAAATTTTTTCATTTTCATATTTTGGCAATTGAATTTCATGTCAACATAAAGTTTCATATGTTCGAAAATAATACACAAAGGACTGCAGAGATTCTTTTTAATAGGTTTTTTAAAAATCACTCCAAAGTTAATAAACACTTTATGTAAAAAGTTAAGATAACGTGACTTTATTACCTAAAAATTATTTACCAGTTTTAAAGGTACTGCAGTATTTAAAGGCAACTCATGAAAATCACAGCAAAAGCAAACAAAATTTCGCCATTGGTTCGAATTTGAAGTTAGCTAGAGGGATATATGTATATGTCTTCTAGAGGGACATTGTGTATGTATATAACATTCTAATCAATTCTATGTTATTTTGCCTTTATACATATATGAAAGTCGCCACTTAAATTTTTTGAATGGAATATTTTAGGAATATTTTTGGAATAATAAAACGTTGAATTCTACTAAAAATTCTACTAAAAAAGTATTACTCCAAACGGGATCTAAGATACATAGTTACTGACATATTAGCGAAAGTAAATTATGTTTATTAATCAAGGTGTGTGTGTGTGTGTTGTGTGTGTGTGTGACTATATGTATAACTAATAATAATAAAGATAATAGAGATAATAGAGATAATTATAGCTATTATGTAAAAGATGTTCCTCTAAATATCATAAAAAATATTGAACCTACAGAAAAATGTTTCAAACCAAAGTTGTGCATTTCTTTACGTAAAATATGATTCCGAAATAAAAAATATAAGTTTATGATAAAAAATCAAAATGACTTTAAAATTACGCCTACGCTTGAAAAAACCAGTTATGCCATTTAAATCCCAACTGAAAATACTAAAAGATAAGTGTCATCTAGTTCTTTTTAAATGTATACAGCCGAGCTCGGCTGGCGTAAGGCGGTTAAGCCAACGAACACACGAATCACAGTTCCACTCATTGGCTCGGCCGTCTCGCGCCAGTTGATCTAGCCTCTCATTGGTCACAGTTTTTCGTTAATAATTTGTAAACAAAACCGCGGATTGCATTTGCGTTAAAGAAAAAGTTACTTCAAATGATCTCATGAATCCCTCATTTCCCGGAAGTACCATAATTTTGGGACACCCTGTATACATTCCGGCGTGCAGTGCATGTGGTCGATCGGTTTTTATACGCTATGCGTGATGCAAAAATTATTTTTACCTTAAAAACATTTTATCAAGAATATCATTATTGCAAAAACTACATAGAATAAATTATCGGTACTCGTTACAAATATTTGTTATTAAAGATTTGTTATTAAATATGTATGTATATTTAATGCCTATATTCCTCGTTTTATTTCTATCCATTATTAATAACTTGTAGCTTACAATTGACAAACTTAATAATCTACGCTGAGATGTTAGGCAAGGAGCTACAACTCTATAGTCAATGTTTGGAGCACTGTTTCGACTGCGATCTATGCTAGCGACGAACTTGTACGAACTAAAATTCAATATGGCGGCTTAGGAGCCGTAATTCAAATTCTGAATTCTATAGCCAAAATGTATTAAGCATGTATTAAATATTTTTCTTTCGAAAATATGTTATGTACACCAAAAAATAGTTATGTACACCATCATACAAACTAAAAATAGCAGCAACATAATGGTGAACATAACACAATTTCGAAAAAATTGTACTTAATATACTATGATGTAGGGAAAAGAAAATAATCAAAGTAAAAAATTAATATAGAAAAAAAATCTTGTTTTTTTGTATTTTACAAGACTGTTTACAAATGTAGCCATTTGCGATCGCGCTCTCGAACTGTCTCGCACGCAGCGCTCGCAAAGGATGAACTACTCGATCCACCCGAATCTTGCGAGATAGTGGAGCAGAGCACGGGGCACGTCACGCGATCGAACTATAAAATATCATTTAATACCTCATTTAATACCAGGATAATTTTCCAGCCTGTTGCGTAATAGGGCACGATTCGTTAATATGTGTTTTTTTTCCTTTTAATAAATAATTAATATGTAAGCACCAAGCCAAAATGAATGTGTTTGCAAAACCATTATAAATTCTTTTTTGTACAAAATCTTTATGAATATAACATGTATAATTAAATGTTAATTTATATGTTAATTCTGGAATCATTTGGCATGCAATATTTTCCGTGTGCCATATGTCTGATATTATAGAAATCATAATATATGTAGTATGATTCTATCCATATATTTCTTAAAAAAGCACGCAGATTTATTTCTTTTTGCAATGTATGCAATTATTAATATTAGTGTTATTTTCGGAAATATAAAAACTGAAGAATTTAAAATAGTTTTGCAAGCATTTCTTTTGCAATATATATCTCATTCTTGTTTTATTGTAGATATAAGATTTTGCTCGTGGAAATTGTGTGAATTAAAGAAAAGAGGATCATTGTCAACGTTTTCACAATTTCCTCTTGCCGTTCTGGGAGACGTTAAATTATTAATTAACAAAGTCTTAAATGTTATATTGCGCGGTTTGAAAGTTTTTATATTATTCGCAAAGGTTCGAAAGATTTTATATTATTCACAGTATTTTATGCAATGCTTGAAATGATTCTATGGTAAATATTCAATTCTTTAGAGACAGGCGTAGGTGTGGTGAGGGAAACCTGCACGAGGGGAGTAGAGACTATGTGGCCCGCGGGCCACCAGTTCCTCAGCCCTAGCAAATGTGATAATCTCTCCTTCCCAGAGTTCCAAAAGTCTTCGTGTAGAGTGTCCTGCTTGCTTCATTCTTCAACTCAGTTATCGATTGTACTGCAAATATAATAAACAAGTTCAATATCAAGAAAAATATGCATATTAGTATTTATTAAGTAATATCTCGCAATACCTTCCAAATTAATCAATGACTCAATGTATGCAAATAATGATCTGATAAATAGTTGTGCAGCATATACTACTTTCACTTCTGGAATTTGGTTTCAAAAAATATGCTTGGATTCGTTAGCTTGTGTAATATTTTGCTGTTTATGTTCGTTACTTCGCGTATCTTGTATGCTGTTTCTATGATTTTCCACGATGCCAATTTATTGTTAATTCCGTTGCTGATTCTAGTATCAATGTCTGTAAATTATTTCATATCCCTTTTAATAAATGTGGTGGATCGAAAAAGGAATAATATCTTGTTATTAAATTTTAATCGTACCTCCTGTAAGAGACAAAATGTTATAATTAACATGTTATGTACTAAGTTATTATAAAGAATAAGGAGACAATAAAACTACTTACTATGTTCTATTCCTCGTTGGAAATATAATTTTTTTGTATCCTCTAGCATTTACTGCTGCAACTTTGACTGTCGCATACTAATGCTAGAACCTCGAATCCTGGGGCCCGAGGCACAATACAAAATTAAGGCCCCTAATATGCTATGACATGCTATAACAAATAGAGCGATTATTTTTTATTTTAGAATGTAAAGATAATGAATACAAAAAAATTAAACTTATACAATTTCATTTGTAGTATTGAAAAATTAATTTAAATAACAGCTTTTCTGGACTTTTGCTTTGAAAACTTATTGACAATTTCTTCATAGTCTAAGGTATTAATTATATCATTTTCCATGAACACCAGATTTATATTTTTTGATATTGTGATTACATAAGTAATAGTAGGATATTTACACAATGATATAACTATTCCTTTACAAATTACTTAATTCCTTTACTTACTTCAAAGCAAGTACATATTACGAAAGTATGTAAGTAAGTAAAGTATGTAAGTGAGAGTAATAGCAACAGAACTTCGATTCGCGAAGGTGAATGTCCCGCTAGAAAAGCCTTAATGACGAGTACTCTAGTGGGACCAGAACGAAACGCTCTCTTTTTCTCCAGATCTTCGTCTTTTTAGCCGTCCACATGAGAATGAAACAAAACAACGATTTTTGGTGGTCTCGTTGATAACATCTCGTTACATCTTGTGTTCCATACTTCTTTCGTCTTTTTAAAGTAAATCTAATATAAACATAAAATACACATTTTGCCAATTTCGACTCTCATTTCGGGGGCCCCTTTGCGACGGGGGTCCGAGGCGCACGCCTCATGTTCCTTGGGGTTAATCCACCACTGGCAACTACTTCCTTAATAATACATATCAGATATGGAGATTATGTCGTATTCTTGCAAAAATGATATGCAAGAGATACCTTCCAATTCCTCAAGACACCCTTTAATTTAAAAAACTAGCGCATGGTCAGCTATCATTTAACGTATCAAAATATACTTTTGGCGATATTGCTGTTTTGTCACAAATTAATATGGTAAGCCTGTCATGCCATTTCATTCTTTTAGCCTCAGATTCTAAGTGTTGCATTATAGCGTCGTTGATACCAGGAGCAACAGAAATATCTTTTAATAAATTGTTTAGTGTTGCAGCTCTTGACAGCACTCTTTAATGTTCTTAACATTTTATATACTGAAGGGGAAGCTTTATAGACTGATACTGATCATGCAAAATCTAAGTTATTAATTTGTACAAATTCATTTCTTTAAACACAATAATAATTTATTGTATACTTAAGACTTTTCAACATAAATAAACCTGTAGGTTATAACCTCCACATTTCTGTTAATAAATCGTAAAAATTTATTTTGTAAATAAAAGCTTAATTTATGTAATAAATACTATGTAATTGTTTCTATGTACATACTAGGTTGTCCCATAAATTCGTGTTGTTTATTTTTGTACTATATGAAATAATACTTTAATCTTACCTATGTAGCTTACAAAAAAATATAATCTCCCACTTTTCAGACAACGACATGATCCCATTGCTATAACATTTCTTTGGTTAAGACAAAGTAGGTGCAATAGAAGAAGAAGGAGAGAGGAAAGAAACGGACTTTAGGCAGTAGATATAAGTGATAAGAATGAGAATGAGAGTGATGAATGAATGGATGCAAATGAGTGAAAGACTAAGCTAGAATTGTAACGTTAGGTTTATGTAAACCAAGTCCAATTTCTTAGCCGTGAGGCCGGAATAATAAAGCAATATATGTATACATTTCTTTGGTTCATCGTAAAAATATTTTTGTAAAGCCTTTTCTATTGCGTTTACATCCTTAAATTTCTTGTTGGCTAAAAAATGTTGTAGTGATCGAAAGAGGTAGAAGACTATTGGTACGATATCCCACAATAAGGTGGATGCGATACAGAAAGGATTACGATTCGTTGCGTGCAAGCAACGATATGCACGTTGCCACGCGATCAAGTCTATTACGCTCCGTAAATTGATGCGGCACTCATATACGTCCAGCTTTCGCAGTATTCCTGTTTGTAGTTTCCAATTTTAATAAAGTAATATATGTAAATTTAACACACTTGAGCATATACTCTTAATATTATAATAAAATCGATGCGTGTTTACAGACCAACTAACGAAACAAGAGAGAGAGAGATCATTATACAAATCCAAATGTCTTTAATCTAATAAGGGGTCACCTGACAATGTACTGTCCCTTGCTCAGAAGTCTGTCGTTTCGACAGAGGGGCAAAGGGGTATTCCACTCGCTCCGTCTGACCTGCACGCCTGTAGTCCCCACATTTCTATGACCTCTCGAAATCCACTTCTATTGGTAAACGAGAAGACCCACAAGCTAATAGCCGCGAGGAGAAAGGGGGATCAGTCGTTCGCTCTACCTAATCACTCACGTCTCTTCTTCAGCACGAAACTTAGCCAATAATAAAAGTCTGGAATAAAAAAGGTTATGCATAATATATTTCCTAGAGTTGCTTGTTTCTTAGTTGAAAGTCTCGTATTATTACAATTGTTTTTCACGGGTGGATGTCTGCACAACAGCATACAACTTAGTAATCTTTTGATCCGTGGTGAGACGTAATCTCCTTTTGACTAGGCTACAATATAATCCTAAATATTTTTGCATGTACCGAGTACAATGTGACATTTCGTAAATATAGAGTATATGCTTTAAATTGCTTTTATAAAATCCTTGGGAAGGCGGCCGCAGGCTTTGCGTGTGTCCGTGTACGATCATAGTGGGCATTGTGGTCCGAAATACTGGTCAAGTCATGAATTCAACATTCGTAAAATGTTGAAATCTTTGCAATATCACTATGCATAGTCAAGTGTTTTACTAGTTATTGTAGAGCAGGCAAACAAACTTCCTTACAATTCCGACTTTTTTTATCCATTTCCAAGAAAACAGTTTCTATATCTATTTTCCGGTTTGAGTTGACATTTAATTTTAGTTTCAACTTCCTGTAAATTGATGACAATAAAAATAGTGTTAGAAAATCTGCGTCGTTTAAGGGGTCTGACCACTTTGAAAGTTTAAAAAAATCGAATTTTTTTGTCTGAAATAGTAGTTTGCAGTCTTAAAAATAAATTGCAAAAGGTTATGTATGCTTTAAAACAAATTATTTTTAGAAATAAGAAGCCTGTGGCCGATTCGTTTACCTGTGTGCCATAGCGTTAAATGGAAATTAATGAAAAATTACGTTTAGAAACTTTAAACGTATATTTCTGAAAACTGTGTTTTTAAAAAAACGATCACCTTAAAATTTTGCAGTTACCTTTAGTATAATATATATTAGGCATTGACGATCCATGTTTTTCTAATTTTCAATAATTTCGGACAATGTAAAGAAAAGACACAATTTTTTTATACAAATTCAACAGGTCAAACACAAACAGCTGCTATTTTGATAATTTTCACAAAAATGGAAATGTTCGATCATCAATACCCAGAGTGATATCCTAGTTTTAAGCATTTTTTGAATTTTTGTTCCAAGTAATCTAGTTTGGGAGGAATCCTGCACAAGGAATTCAAAGCGGTGCCATTTAAAACCTAAATAAGAAGCATTTAAAACAAAACTAACACTCTCTTTTTATAGTTCATAACATTGTAAAACAAACCATGAAAACTTATATCGATCAAACGTTTATTTCTCTTCTGCTATTATTTTAAAGTACAAGTACTTTTTGATCGCGTCAATGTGATCTAACCCCTTAATCGTTTATATTCCCAAGTAATCACGTTTAATTAATTTACGGCCGAAACACCATTTTTCCTTTTTTCAGGTTTTTGTTGAATCGTATTATATCCAGTGGATAAAATATCAGAGAAATTAACTTTTGAGACTCGGATACTGTCATCTCATAAAAATCATAAACAATCAGCTTTAACCATTTTATAAATTGTATAAACATACTTATTCAGTGACTTGTTTACATCACCAACGATATGTATCGATAAGAAAATATCTAAATACTTTAACCTTTTGATCACAAACGTGCAACCACAAATAGAACACTGTCGACTGATGCTGCTGGCGACCAGTGCTAACGAATCGACCTTTATTATCGGCAAAGTTTTGTTAACCAAAATAGCGTTGCTGATACGCGATATCAATGTCAATAATTCCAATGTAACACGATTTTACAAACTTTGTGGCAAGCACTTTTCGATATAAGGAAAACAACGTTTCGCGAAATTTTCTAAGTGGAAAGTTCGAGGAGTTTCCCTTCACCGCCGTCCACTCAAAAAAATACATATAAGCTATTTGATAGTGAAAGTTCTATCCCAATAAATCGATCCGCTCTTTAGTTATGTATATTATTTTAAAACTAAAGGATGATTTATTTTAAAACTAAAGATTAACTTTGGTAGGATTTTCACTATTAAATAGCTTATATTTTTAGTAGTAAATCCACAATATTGTTATGACTTGTCCAAATCAAGTCACTGTAACGTGATACTGTCCTGTGATGGACAACCCTTAAGGAAGTAATAGAAGATAGGGATTGCCACGAAAATGTTGTACCGACAGACAATCGGAAGTCGAAATCGGACCGTCGCACATTAGTCAGTTTCCATACAAAAAGCGAAAAAAAGCCAGTTTTAAAAAATGTCCCCATAATGCATAATTTATTTACTAGTAATCAATTAAACATGTGGCTTATTATTTACTATGATTTTATTTAGCACTTCTTCATTTTGGACACAGCTACATGGCTTCAAAGTAATTGAATTTAATCGAATTGAAAACAAAAATTGAATTTTCAAAAAATTTGTTTATAAACAATTAATGTTTTTTTTTGTTTTCATTATTCTACCCCAACAAAAACCCAAATATATGTACTAGTAATATAAAATGAAAAACTAAGGCTTAAATATATAATTTTAGTTGTTATATGTTTTTGTCTGCTTTTTGTATGGAAACCGACTACCGTGCGTCGGGCAATCAACATGTCGATATTAAATATCTGTTGTATAATTGCTTTTGTAACATGATTTGGTATTGTAATATTGCAAATAAACTGCCGCGACGCATGACACGTGGAGTTAATGAAATTCGCAACAATATTTTATCACGCTGCCATACTCGGGGGCCTAACAATGATAGCAAAAGTGAAGAAAGTCAGAGGAAAATAACCATCCCAGCGTCTTTCATTGCACATGTCAAGACTGGGGAACATCCTCCCCACCTTGACTTCTGCTTAGCAGTCGCTTCCCCTACCATGAAACTATTCTCCGCTATACCACTGCTTTCCTCACCACGTTGACCGTCGCATGCGTGGGGCAAATTAACAGCCGCAGGTGTGGTGGGGGAATGCTGCATAAGGAGAGTAGAGACAATGTGGCCCGCGGGCAAGCATTTCCCCGGGCCTAGCATATGTTATCAAAATGTTCGAGAATCAAAAGATTAAGTTTATGCGGACTCACTTATCTACCAATTTCAATGAGGCATCGACTCGGAAGCTATTAAAAATTGTAAAATACTGTTATAGACACTTATCCAAATAAAGTCGCTGCGGTGAATAACCCCTAAGGAAATAATAGAAGATAACCATCGAGGAAGATTCACTTTGCTTTACAACAAAAGCTGCAGCAAGAATTGACAGATGTATGGTAGATTTAAAAGTAATTGAAAAAGTCCCTACAATAAAAGAACAAATATCAGACATATTCCTGAATTCGGGATCTTCGCAGATTCTGATCTAAATGATGAATGCATTCCAGATCTCAGATCCACAACAAACAAAAACTTTGCACAAAATTCCTCCATCTCACAAAATTCACCAAAAACAACTAAAACTACTAAACCTCCACCCATGTACATACATTCAAGTTCAAAACATTAACCACCCCAAATTCATCGATAAAATAAATAACACACATGACCTCAATTTTTATGTTAAGTAGTCAAATAATAAACTAAAAATACAATTCCATGAAACCAAAAAATTAACGAAGGTTTAAATCTGACTGTATAAAAAAAATACAATTTTACGCTTATACTTTCTTCCAGCAGAGAAAGCACTCCTAGTGATGCTAAACGAACACCAAATATTCTTAGAACAAGTTATAAAAAACGAAATTTGCTTGTCAAGAATCGTACCACATTCTTTTCTCCGAACTACGTAACACCATTAAATACCCCGTCCGCAACATAAATTTTTTCCTAGCCACATTACTTGCTCAAGTTAGGCTCATCCAGTAAGCGTAAAAGTCTATTGGGAGAAGTATTACTCCAAAACATTATCATTCGGCACATTAGGTATCCAGATCATGGGCACACTTCAACAAACTGTAACAATGATTATAGATGATTGATGTGTGATCTAGATCAAGATATACGCACGTACGCAAAGATTAGAAATATTCTTGAAGCCTATTTAGCCTATTGTAACAAATTTCAAAAGAAACCGTGCAGCAAATTACAGTAATGGGATCTACAGTCGTGTCGGTATTTAAGTTAACGCTTACATTTTTTGGGAAGGTAAAAATTTATAATAAATGTAAATACTATTTGAATTAGGAACAAAAACATTTAGTTCATTGTCATAACAATAATAGAGACGATACATAATGTATAAACACAAACAACAATAAAACAAAGTAAAAAATAATAAATTTTTAATTAATTAATAAGAGGCTTAATAACCCTTGGTTTTAATAACCTCTAGTAAGTGTGGAAGCATTGCATTTATCAATTTTTCTAAAGAATTTGTCGTAATTTCATTCTCTCTCTCTCTCTCTCTCTCTCTCTCTCTCTCTCTCTTTCTCTCTCTTCTATTGGCTTTTTCTATTTGCTGTAATGAAGTCCGATTTTGTATATCTTCTTTTATATGTATATCTATGGAATTTAAATTCGGGCTTTGAGGTAGCCAAGGGAGCACGGAAATATTATTTTCATCAAAAAATTTTTTAACTGCTTTTGCTGTGTGTTTCAGATCGTTATCATAGTGAAACACACGGGACCTGTGGACTCCGAATTTTTCAAATGACTGAAATAAATTTTCATTTCATAATTCAATGTATTTAGCAGCAATCAATCTTCCATCGATAATAATTAAATTGCCTACTTAGGTGTTATTAAAATAACCCCATATCATTATATCCTCACCACCGTGTTTGACGGTGTGTTACTAGTGTCTATTTGAAAACGTCGCCTTTCCTTCTCCATACACATATTTTTGCTTTTGTTTGAATCCAATTCAAATTTCGATTCATCGTACCAAATTATTGATTTCCAAAATGAAATCGGCTTATTGTAATGTTCTTTAACAAAATTTAGACATCTTAGTGCATTCACTTTTGAAATGTATGGTCTTTTTCTCGATATCTGTCCAAAAGAGATTTGATTTGCGTGATCGATATTGGTAGACAAAGATTTTCTTTGATTCGTTGCGCAGTAATGAACGGATCTTTTTATTTCTCTAGTGATTTTCTTTTTCTACCCGATCTTCTGTAGTTGTTGGCATATCTTCCTAACCCTTTTTTAAGATATTCCAAGCTCATGTGCAATTTGTTGCAGACGTTTCCATTCCATACATATACCCTGACGGATACTTGTAACTAGTAGTTTTTGCACACTACAAATAAAAGGTGCTCGTCATCACGACAGAAATGTGTGAAAATATCCTACAAATCATTAGTCTACTAATAAAAGTAAAAGATAATTAAGATACGTTGATATTTTATTCATAAAATAAAAGTTTTATTGCGTCAACTTACTTTTCATCAGATCAATATTTGACAAAAAATTTTTAAATGTACATGAACTTTGTTCTATACAGGGTGTCTCAGAAGTATAGTACATCCAGGAAATTAGAGATTTTCCTGAGGTCATTTGAAGTAGTTTTTTTTCTTAGCGCAAATGCAAACTGCTGTTTTGTTTACGAGTTATTAACGAAAAATAGTGACCAATGAGAGGCGAGATCAGCTGGCGCGAAGCGGCCGAGCCAATGAGCGAAACTGGGTTTGTTACTTCAAATATCCTCAAGAATCCCTCATTTTCCGGAAGTACCATAATATTGAGACACCCTGTATAATGCTTTCGCTTCTACTCTTCGCAGGCATTACCTATATTTGATTGTAAATAAAAAATAAGAATTTCTTAAGTCATATAAAGACATCGATAAAGCAGAAAAATACAACGCATCCTTAAAATTTGCGGCTAACATAAATATCGACGCGTCATAAATAATCTGCACGTTTTTCTTACTCCCTAAGCTGGCGCGCTTAGAATTATCAGTTTTCTTAGAGTTTTTCCAACAACTTCAACACTTGTGAAGTGTCAAACCGACAATACGCGTGGTCTTGGATTTAAAATTCTGCTTTGTGAAACATTGCCAATCGCCGCACGCAAGAAGCAACGAACGACAATAGAATGCTTCGCAGTCAACAACAAATAAATATTTGCATGCCTGGCACTTCAAAAGAAAATGACCAATATGGTCCTGGAAATATTGATTCTATGTAAGTAAAAAACATTTAAGAGTAAACATAAATTGAAACTTTAAACACGTTTTTATCGAAACTGTATTTTCAATATCGGTGGTCAGGATATCTCGAAAAGTACCGCATCGATTTGGACGAAATTTTTTTTTCTGTTGAGTATTTTAGTTTGTATAACTTATAAACTAGCTATTTTTAATCAAAAATCAAAACTTTCACTTTGAACGCCTGCCATCTTGTAAAAAATCAACTATATGAAAATCCTTCGGTTCAAGGACAAATTTGGACTATCAACTAAAGAAATATTTTTCGTACATGATTTCAGGTAACCGTGGACCGAGTGAAGCGGACCTTCGCAAAGTATGTTTTTTTAGAAAGCCCTTAGGAGAAGTGCCTTAATTTACATATTTCTGCATATTTGTAAATAAAAAAAATAGAATTAGTAATAAAAAGCCTGATCATTCAAATAAAGGAACATTGACTAAAAAAGATCTTAAAAGTTTTGAGAAAAATCCCCCTAAAATACCATTTTGTTTCACTCCTAACTGAACAT